AATTTGAAATTTATCAAAAACATATGTGTAAACTTATATTTATAGACACAAATTATCTTTATATGTATGTAAATTTATATATATATTTCATAAATACCGTATAAATACATTTTAAAAACCTTTTAAAAAATGTGTAAACCTTTTAAAAACCTTATAAAAACATTATAAATGCCGTTTAGAACCTTTTAAAACCTTATAAATATTTGGATTTAGTCTTTTAGTAGTAATGATGACCTCGATGTACCTTAGTAACCATATAAAAGTTTATAATTTTTCATATTTGAAAAGGGGTATTTTTGAAAATGGATAGAAAAGAGGGATATTTTTAAAAAGAGTAAACCAAAAGGGGTATTTCTCAAAAATTCTCAATAATATATAGTTCAGATCTGTAAACTCTAAAAAATACATACTTTTATGTAAATTTTTGTCGTCCAATAGCATATGCACACCTTTTGTACTCTTATATTATTTCTTAAACATCAAAATTTCATTGAAAATATACTACCTTAAACGTAACCAAGACAAAAAAAAAAGGTGATATATTCCACATTGAACTAAAAAGATAAACTTATTGCATCCAAAAAAAATAATAAGTGAGAAAAAATTCTTAACGACATCGTTTTGGTTCAATTTCTTAATTCTCTTTTTTTTTTTTGGTAAGATCTTATTATGAATTTTGTTCGAGATTTCCAAAAACCATAATTGTTGTCATCTAGAACAACTTTCATGTTATTTTCCAATTCTTGATAGTTTTGTTTTGTCATCGGTTCGGATTCAATTTAATTAATCTCACTTCAATTCCGGTACGATATTTTCGGTTTAATTGGCTCAGGAATAGTAAAAACTGTAAGAAGTTAATAAAAGTGAAAAAGGGTAAAGCGGTTAAAAAAAGGGGGAAAATATCTAAAATATACTACAGGAAGGTTTTATCCACATATATATAATCTCAGTCTCTTTTTTTATTTCTTCTTCTCCCTTATCTCTCCGCCTCTTTCTAGGGTTTCTCTCAAAATCCAAAAAGCTCACATCACCAAACATGGCGGACGAATCTCAATACTCATCGGAGACTTACTCCAACAAACGGAAATACGAAGAACCAACCGCTCCACCAACATCGACTCGTAGACCTACTGGTTTCTCTTCTGGTCCGATCCCATCTGCTTCACCTGATCTCACCGCAACCGCTGTTCCTCCGCCGTCTTCTTACAACAGCGTTCCTCCTCCGATGGATGAAATCCAGATTGCTAAACAAAAAGCACAAGAGATCGCTGCTCGTCTTCTCAATAGCGCTGATGCTAAACGTCCTCGTGTTGAGAATGGTGATTCTTATGGTTATGGTGACAAAGGGTTTAGCTCATATCCTTCTGGTTCGTTCTCGTAATCGTGTTTTTTTGAAGTTGTGTTTATGGAATTAGGGTTTGAGTTAAACTTGTGTTTTTGATCTTTGATTTTAGAGGGTAAGCAGATGTCAGGGACGGTTCCTTCTTCGATTCCGGTTTCGTATGGTAGCTTTCAGGGAACTACTAAGAAGATTGATATTCCGAATATGAGAGTTGGTGTTATCATTGGTAAAGGTGGAGAGACTATTAAGTTTCTTCAACTTCAGTCTGGAGCTAAGATTCAGGTTACTAGAGATATGGATGCTGACCCTAATGCTCCTACAAGGACTGTTGACCTAACTGGCACGCCTGATCAGATTTCAAAGGCTGAAGAGTTGATCAATGATGTCCTTCAAGAGGTACTAGTCCTACACTGATACTGAATCATTTGGTGTGTGTTTAGGTGATGGAAGTAGATTACTAATGCTATATCTAATAATTTTGGTTTAGGCTGAGGCAGGTGGGTCTGCTGGTTCAGGTGGAGGTGGCCGTAGGATGGGAGGACAAGCAGGAGCTGATCAATTTGTTATGAAAATTCCTAATAATAAGGTACTTAATGCTCTGGAGATTAACTGATATATGGAATCTCTGTTTTGTATGTAATACATAAACTGCTCTAGGTTGGTCTGATAATTGGTAAAGGAGGTGAAACTATCAAATCTATGCAAGCTAAGACAGGAGCTCGGATTCAGGTTGGTATTTTTTAAATATTGTTCAACTTTCTTATGAAACAGTAATATATATCCAGGCTTCTGTTCATCTCCAGCTGGTGAAATCTTATCAGCTCGTAACAATTGTCTGCAGGTTATTCCTTTGCATTTGCCCCCTGGTGACCCAACGCCAGAGCGAACTTTGCAGATTGATGGGATACCCGATCAGATTGAACATGCTAAACAATTAGTTAATGAAATCATCAGTGGCGAGGTATGTTTGATTGTTGTGTTTGTAATGGTTTGTGGCAGGCTTCTGCAGTTTCTATGTGTCTACCTGAAATTTATATTGTGGTTTGATTACATTATTTAGTTGTCTTCACTGTTAAGTTTATCTAGCTTTCCCCTTTGATCTGCTCTATAATTCAGATAATAGGATATGTAGTTTATAGTATTTTCACTTATTCAATGAATCTAATGCTAATACTCCACTGTGCTTATGATGAGCTATACTTATGCCTTCATTACTCAGTATTTTCTCCACAATAAAAGCATCTATGAAGTGCATAGCTCTTCTATTCTGCTTATCTACAGGGGTCTGTCTGTTCTAGGGTCTTTGGGATTTTCTTGACTAATTACCATCATCTTGTTATTGAAGTTGCTAGAGTTTATATGTTGCCTCCTCCGTTTATCATTGTTTCCTAGTACCCTCATTCTGTTACTATCTTTTTGGAGCAGCTATTTAACGACCCTTCCTTATTTTTACTTTCTATCATTTTTGATAATCCAAATTTTCTATGTACTTAATATTGTTCGTCATGACTCATACTCCTATCAAGAGGTATTCTTGGCATATTCACTTTTCAGATTGTATTTTCATAGTAGAAAAATATGTTGTCTATGTTTATGGAGTATATGCAGACATCTATGTTTCATCGCTTCTGGTCACAGACAAGGTGGCTCTACACTGGTATTGGTAGCCTTTGTGAGGTTGCTGAATAGTTTCAGTCCAACCTGTAGTGATAGTATTTTTAAACAGTTTTGACACAATAAATGTTACTTTTTGTTAAAATTGTGCTTTATTATTTATGTGTCAAAATCACTTTCATTCAGCTATTACTCTAGTTTTAATCATCAGGGGGTATCACCAAAGGTGGTCGACTGACACATGAAGACCTATTAGCCATTTTTTGTGTCAATATTTTGCTAACCTAGTGATATTTTATATTCTGCCTGTTTGCTTGCATCAATTTTCCTGGATTTGTACCCTTCAGCCATAATTTACTCCAGAGAGTTCATACCTCAGCTTGAATCAGATAATATGCTTCCATGAGTATTGTTATTGTTGAAAACAGCACTCTTTAGTTCATATTAGGTTATTTTGCTGCAAAAATAATGCCTTTAGAACATAGGTTCCATGTATATCTATGTTGCTTCTCTGCAAAAGCTTCTATAGTATTTGTGGTTTTTTCTTGCGCCCATTTTATCTCGGATAGGGAAAGGGATGGGCTTCTGCAGGAGTAACCCAATAATTTCACCAATCAGTACGGTATGTAGGCATCACCATTACCCTTCTAGAATATGATATGATCTTGGTTGATCCAATATGGACAGATGTTGGTAAATAACATAACATGTATTCCTCTCAATCTAGTCTTTGCTGTCCGCTTTATATGTCTGTCTCTTTGTTCATGTGTTTATATGCTGTGTCGCCTTTTTATTTCCCTGAAAAAGTTACCTTAGCTTATTATAATGGTTTTTTTTTATGCAGAACCGTATGAGAAACTCCTCAATGGGAGGAGGCTATCCACAACAGGGTGGTTATCAAGCCCGCCCGCCATCAAGCTGGGCACCACCTGGTGGTCAGCCTGCACAACCTGGTTATGGTGGCTACATGCAACCGGGAGCATATCCTGGTCCACCTCAGTATGGTCAATCACCTTACGGGAGCTACCCTCAACAAACTTCAGCTGGCTACTCCTCAACCTGGGATCAATCCTCTGTGCCACCATCTCAGCAGGGCGCACAAGGTGAGTATGATTATTATAGTCAGCAACAGTCACAGCAACCAAGCAGTGGTGGTAGCTCAGCTCCACCTACAGATCCCACAGGCTACAGTTACTACCAGCATGCTGCTTATGGCCAAGCTGGTCAGGGATACCAGCAAGATGGGTATGGGGGTTACAGTGCCTCACAGCAATCAGGATATGGTCAAGCTGCTGGTTATGATCAGCAACAGGGTGGTTACGGCAGCACCGCTAATCCGAATCCAGAGGAAGACACATCTCAAGCTGCTCCCCCATCATCAGCTCAGTCTGGACAGGCTGGGTATGGTACAACTGGTCAACAGCCTCCTCAAGGAAGTACTGGTCAGGCAGGGTATGGAGCCCCTCCAACTTCTCAGGCTGGTTACAGCAGCCAGCCACCAGCAGCTTACAGTTCTGGATATGGAGCTCCACCACCGGCTGGAAAGCCACCAGCTTATGGTCAGAGCCAGCAGTCTCCAGGTGCTCCGGGGAGCTATGGTAGTCAGTCTGGGTATGCCCAACCAGCAGCGTCAGGGTATGGACAGCCTCCAGCATATGGGTATGGTCAAGCACCACAGGCATACGGATCTTATGGAGGATACGCACAAGCTCCTGCTGGTGGAGGTTACTCGTCGGATGGATCTGCAGGAGCCCCTCCTGCCGCTGCCACTGCTGGTGGTACACCAGTTTCACAAAGTGCTGCTCCACCTGCTGGACCGCCCAAGACATCCCCCAAAAGTTGATATGTCTATGGATAATATACAATACAGGCTTCCATGCTCTTATCTTTTTCTTGAGGATATCTTAATGTTTGTATTTGACGTTTTAGCTCTTTTACATTAAAAGATAATGTTTATTGTTACGTTTGGTACGCTTGTGTCTTCTTATATCGATCGACCCAAATTTACCCAAATGAAAAATGGCTTTCGTATTATAACTTTAGATTTGCGACAAACCATTCAATAGCTTTCTTATTGAAACAAATAAAACTTAGGCATACACCAAAGTTCATAAAAGATAGAATGTGAAGTCTATCAATTTATTCGATACATATATGTTTGTTAAATATAAGCCGAAGCTTTTGCTTGTTAAAGAGAAGAAGACGAGTATGTGAGAAGGCTGAAGAGTAAAGTTGGGAGTAGATATGTCTTCACTCAACTTGTGAAAAACCTCCACCTGTCTCGGCCTTTGTCCTGCCAAACAAACAGAGTTTGTAAGTGGAAGATCTTCACATAGGAAAGAAAGAGTAATTTGGTTGAGATTCAGGCTTACTTGTGATCTGAAGGATTTGGTCTAATCTCATAAACAATTGTCGCGACAACGTCCCGTTTCAACTGTAAAAGACCAAATGTTAGCTTAATCAACTGCAATACCTTGTCATAGTAGCAGCATTTATATGCAAGCTTACCTGGGTTGCTTCACCTTTGAAGCCAATGTAACGTATTTGGGTCGTGTCCCCTCCAAAACTCTCAGGGAAATGTAAAGTGATGTTCCCAACACTCTGGAATTTTGAATACCTAATCACAGCGCAAATCACATTCTGATCAGATATCTCCCTTGTGACCAGTTGAAGAAAAAGCATATATATAGTTCAGTGAAGGATAACGCTCGATTCATATAGAGTTCTTGAGATTCATTTACATAACGTATGTATTACAAACCCAGTGAAAATACATAATAAGTGTAGAGAAAAACCTGGTCTGGTATTCTAAGATTCCTTGCAAATTTTCAGCTAACTCCCATTCCTTCAGAAAACTCACAAATGTTTCTGCATAAGTGCATTTTTCTTTGGCAATTCAGTAAGCAAAATACTCACAACGGAATACCTGAACAGCTTGCATACTCTCCACATCCGAGAAGTCAATCCCTTCACGATTGATAAACCTAGTTTTGAGACAACAACAATCAGCTTTCTGTCTTTCTTTAATATATGGAACCATATGCAGAATTCACACACGCATACAGGAAAAGCTTTGCATGGTAGTTTATACATACACTCTCAACTTAGAAGGACTTGTTCCTTCAGGGCCACCAACAATGGATATGCTTTTGATCTTGACATCTGATGTGAATCTACAATAATCATAACAACATGGACATAAATGAGCCACCCACCCATCCACAGAAAGAAACATTGACTGTGTCTACTTCCCCAAGCTTCAGTCAAGTTAATGATCTAAAGTTACTATATTTCTAACATGACTTTAGATATATGAATTCACAGGTCGGTAACTAGAATGTACAAACCATATATTCAGCAAGAAATAAAAGAGGAACAACATAATAACTGACATACGGTACAAACACAAGCAATTCAGCGTCTCCCTCATTGCTCTCCAAATGCTCCTGTAGGCACAGAAAAAAAAAAATCAGTTCTTTTAGACATTATCATGCACACAGGCTTTTATATACAGTAGTGAATATAACCACACAAACTGAGAAAGGATTTATCATAACTTAGGGATCCTCCATCAGCTAAGCATAATATTGGTTAATGACTAAACAAGTAGGCTCTGGCTCTCTTATCCTAAAGGCAAATGTTTTATGCTGAGTTACATGAATATAATGTGCTGTCGCAAACACAATAGTGTATTAACTTGTGATACCCTACTTACTAGTTACTAGCCTACAAGCCCCTGATTTTGTTTTGCAATTTTACACATGTGCTTGTGATATATGGTACTGGATGGATCCTTAACTAAGGTTTTCACTTATATCTTCAAAAAAAGATGCAAAAGATTAGATACTGTGAAGAAAAGTTAAAGTACCCCAGAAGAGTGTAGTCGCTGTTCCCAAGCTTTGAAGACTGATTTAGCACTTCCTGAAACAGCTTCATTCAAAGCAGTAACCTGAGACCAAGTTATCCAACTAGTTAAACCCAGAGACTGATTCATACATGAACCCAAAATTCATAATAGCTCTGTATCTGAAAACCCTAAACAAATCAAAAACCTCTCAAAGTTCAGCGTATTTTACTCAATCATCAATTGGGAATTTCAAAATTGTTTGGGATTCGTTAACCTAGAACTAAACCTACCTGCTTATAGATTATATATGATGATTGAAGATTTTAGGAAAACTAAATGAGCAAGAACAGATTTGTAGAAGAGAAAGAGAGAGAGAGACCTTAGAGAGATCAATGTGTTTGTAAAGAGACCAATCAGAAGAACACTCATGATCCTCGCAGTTGTGATCATGCGTGCACGACATAGTTACCCAAATCGGAGTTTTTTTTTTCTCGTCGGCTAAAACACTTCAATCTGGATTTTTCGCCAAGAAATTTCGAGAAACTTTAGAGTAGTGATGAAGGAGAAGGTATCAAAACTAATTAATAATATCATTGATCGGTTTAATTAAAAACGCTATCAACAAAGAATCAGGCTGTACGACGTCGTATTGGTTTATTAAGACGCAGCGTTTTAATTTCGTCCAAACTAGGCGTCAACGTCGTCGTATTTAGTGTGCATTAGTTTCGTCCAAGTCAGGGGTATACGACATTGTATTGTTTGTTTCAACACTTGTTTATAAGAAAGCGACTTTTTTTTTGTGGTATTTTAGTGAATTTTAGATGAATTTTTTTATTAATTTAAATAGAAAACTTTTGATTAATGGTATTTTATTTAAGAGACCTAAGTTAGGTTTTTAGAAAAAAGTTAGTTTAATAGCAAAACTTAAGATTCTATCAATAATCATATTCTTAATACAAATATCAGATGTGATCCGTATGATAGGCGAGCTAACAAAAGCTTAAGGTCACCAAATTTTGTAGTTTTTTTAAAAATCACATGTTATGTTAAATCTAGTTAGTTTTAGGCCACAGTACTTTGAAGTCCATGATTTCTTTTAAAACTATGTTTTTATTGGTTTTAAAGTGCCACTAACTTCTAATTTCTCTTTTTAGTTCTCAAGTTATATTGTTTTTTGTATAGTTTTCTTGTCATTTATTTTTTTAAATTATTAATTGGAGTTCTAAATTAAATAAAAGTATTACATATATAGATATAGGGTTATATTTATATAACTATCAATTTTGGTGACCGGCCAGAAGAAAACTCTCATTAACAAGACATACCAATACCATGAACAGAAATATATCAAACTCAGCAAAGAAATATAACCAAAATAGCTCGTGCCCCAGTAGAGTGGGAGAAGTCTAGCCCCTTGGGTTTGGATCTACTTGGGAAAAATTGTTATTTTCTTGGAGAAAGTTTTTATAGAAAAGATGGTTCTCGCCAAAAGAGACCATGGTATATATTTTCATTTGAAAGTTCTATTGATAAACTTAAAAAAAGATACAAGTAGAATACAAACGCCTAAAAGAGGGATACTAAAGTCGGCAGACAACATACATGTCTCCGAAAACAAAGTCGGAGGAAGACGAGATTTCTCCGGAGACTAAAGGAAACTACGAATTAAAATTACAACACATAAATTTAGACTGAAATAAAAAGCGATAAAAACCTAACACTAACCACAAAAGCAATACGACTTAAAACTGAAAAGTCAAAAGAATCCAAGAGAATACAACGACCTCTTCTTGGCAAGAAACCAGTGAACGAGATTTACCAAGGATGCCTATGGCCAATCCAAAAATGATAACCTCTACTTCCTCCAATCACAAAAAGAGCCAAACTCTCGAAATCAGAAACCAAGACTTCACGACCCGCCAAGAAAAATACATAAATGGAGAACAAAGAGACTATGGTATATATTTACCACAAAACTTTCTTCTAAGAAATTTGATATACATCAAAAATATTAATTGCTAGTAAAGTAAAATGCATACAACTAACCATAGATAATCTAATCCTCTTAAATATCTGTTAGCGTGGCTAAATGTAACAAAACATTTCTTTTAATATTCGTAACCCAACAAGATAGAACCATTCATAGTTCCTCACACTTTATCTTGGATATAGTAATTATCGTAGATAAAATAACTATTCACGCCTAGATAAAAGTAAAACCATAAAAACATATCTCAATAATATCTAAAGAGCAATACTTCAGTTCACCCCTAAGGGTGAACCTCCTCGTTCACCCCCTATTAGAGTAACCAATTAAAATGAAGTAATTTTTCACGTCATACTATATATAAAAATAAATCAAAAGTAAAATCACTAAAACAAAATAGATTATGGAAACAAAATCTGTATAATATAACCACTCTTTTATAAACCCAAACCGAAATATAATTTCGTTTAATTACAAAATATAAACCCTAACCACTATTTTATCAACCTAAACCGAAATATTATTTCGTTAATTACAAAATCTAAACCCTAACCACTATTTTGTCAACCCAAACTAAATGATAATTTTTTTTAATTACAAAATCTAAACCATAACCACTATTTTGTCAGCCCAACTGAAATATAATTTTGTTTAGTTAGAAAATCTAAACACTAACCACTATTTTGTCAACCCAAATACAGTTTTGTTTAAGAATAAAATCTAAACCCTAACCACTCTTTTATAAACCCAAACCAGAATATATAATTTTCTTAATAAAAATCCTACATAATTTGTTTCCTTTGTTTTTTTTTTTGAATTTTGATTCATTTTTTAAATAAAAAATAACATGGCATATTGTTGTATTTTGATTGGCTATTAGAAAGGGGGTGAACAAGAGTGGTGAACCTAAGTATTTTTCATATCTAAAATGCAGAGACAAATAACAAAAAATTCAAGAACCAAAACATGACCCTTTATTTATGATATCCCATATCAATATTATTTAAGTCTTCAAATTGGAAACATATGGCCTTGATTGGTTACGGCTGTAGCTTTAGTTTTTGGGCTGTAGATTTTAAGCTGTAAATTATTTTGTTGTAGCTGTAGATTTCGTTGCTGTAGTGTTTTGGCTGTAGAAATTAAAATTTTGGAAAGCTCAAAATTATGTGCTTTAGGAGAAAATGCTTTATATAGCAAAAAATAATAATTAAGAAAATATTTTGGTTGTGGATTAAAAAAGAAAATCATTTCTAAAGTTTGATTGCTTTAGGTTTAGTGTTGTAGATCAAAATTTGGCTGTGGAAAGTTTTTAAAGATACAACCAATCAAGACCATAATCGTATATGCCTCTAAAACTTGAACCTAAAATCAGAAACTTAATACTATTTTTACACACATGGCAACAAATCCACAGTCCACACAACCAAAATTAAGAACTTAATTCAACAAGGTCATTCCGGCAAAAGAAAATACTAAAATTCAACACAAATCAAACTTTGAATTTTGAAATGATTAATATACTTGACAAATCACATTATAAATTTCTATTGTGGCAGTCAAGATTTAGAATCTATAACTTTCGAAACTGATATTTCGACCGACTCATTTCCACTAATAAATAAAAATATACACAATTATCACGTTTTAGGGAAAATGTTTATTGAAGTGGACGAGTTAAGCCTGATAGCTTTACAGTAACACTTACGTTACACAACAGAAAAAGAAAAGAAAAAAAAAGACAAAACATGTATATGCATGCTTACTGCTTAGTGCCCAAAAGCCCAAACTAATGACTTTTGCTTTACCTTTTCTTTCGCAATGAAACAAAAACAACATTCACTTTTCATCTTTAGAAGAGGAAGAATCTTATGTTTTCCCCAACCTTGAATTCTCTAGTAATCAAATTATCAAATCAAATCATAATTCTCTAGTGAAGATTAAGTGAATTTTCCAGATGACAAAGAATGAAAATTAATTTAGGTAAATTACAAGTGTTTAGGGTTTTTATTATAACCACACAAAAAGGTAGAGTTATTAAAAAAAAACTAAATATATTGGTAAAAATTAGGATAATAACATAATATCTTATTTTATTATATAAATTAAGATAATTTCATTCAACTTTAACATATGGTACAATTCTTATCCTTAGATTGAATACTATTTAGTCAGCTTTCACCGGATTTTATGATTGGAGGAAAGTCAGAAAATTCACGTAACTCTTTTTCATTCCTTTATGGTTTTAGTCACATGTTTGTTTTCCCTCGAAAAATCTAGGGGGATTTGCACGACTAACCTTTTTATGATATTCTTTTCTACAAGTACCTTTTTTAGGTGTCTATTTTCAAAAATACCATCTTCAATGTACAAAATGACTAAATTACCCTCCTTTACACCCATGATGAAGAAAGGATTATTCTTTCCGAAAAATTTCTTCCGAAAAAATTTCCGCCAAAAATTTTCCCGCCAAAAAAAAATTCCCGCCAACAATTTTCCGACAAAAATTTTCCTGCCAAAATATTTCCGCAATTCTTAAAAAAACCTTGTAAATATTTTAAAATCCCTTAAAATCCTTTAAAAACCCTTGTAAGTCTTTTAAAAGTCATCCAAAACCTTTTAAAACCATCGTAAATCATTTTATAACATTTATAAACACTTGTAAATCCCTTTAAACCCCTTATAACCGTGACAAATCATTTAATAAAAACTTTTGTAAACTTCTAAAACCCTTGTAAATCCTTAAAAAAGAACTTGTAATACCTTTAAAACTTCTTGTAAATCCTTTAAAACTATTTTTAAATCTTTGTATGCCTTTAAATACACTTTTAAATCCTTTTAAAAACACTTGTAAATTCTTTTAAAAAACCTTTAAAAAACCTTGTAAATCCTTTTAAACTGTTATAAATATATACATTTCTGATAAATTAAGATAATTGTGTTTAACTTGAACACTTCATACAACTCTTCTTTTTCAGATTTTGTGCTATTTAGTTCCTTTTCACCGCATTTCCCGATTTAAAAGTCCGAAAAGTCTCGTAACTCCTTCTCATTTCTTTATGCTTTTAGCCACATGTTCATCTTTTCTGAATAAAATCTACCTAAACTAATTTTATATATTCAATATATGAAAAATATTTTACCAAAAAAGAACATTTATATAAGAATTTTTTTTAAACAATCAGATACTAGAAAATAACAATATAAACTGTAGAAAACAAAATCACTTACTTTTGCTTACATATATATGTTGTTGATACTGATGTTACAAAGTTATATCCTCCATTTTTTTTTTTTAAAATCATACCATTATTATTATTAATTTTGTATGAAAACAGAACAATATATATATATATATAAATAAACTTTATTATATATATTTTAGTTGCGTGTATATATAAAACAAGTAATGGAGAAGGCGTTAGGTTGGCATCAGAAAGATTCATTGCATATTAAAAAACTATAAATACCAGTCCCCATCCTCCGAAGATTCTTATCCACGTCACCTTCCTTCACCGGAGAATATGACTCGTATAGTCGCCGTCATCGTCGTCGTCCTCTTTCTCTCTTTAGTCGCCGCCGCATCTGATAACTTCATAAGACTTCCTTCTGAAGCTTCTAAGTTCTTCCGACCAAACAACGAAAATGATGATTCTACTCGGTGGGCTGTTCTCGTCGCTGGATCTAGCGGATACTGGAATTATAGACATCAGGTATGTATGGATTGCGATTTTCGATCTTTGATTCGGAAATTTACGAAATCGCTTGGCGGTTTTTGAGAATTTTGCAGCTGTTCTTGTTTGGACTAGTTTGTTTAAGTCAATGCTGGTGGTTAATTTTACATTTTCTGTTGATCATATCGAAATTTTGAAATTTCGAAATCTGGGGGCGGTTATCGATTTTTCGAGTTTGCAGCTGATCTTGTTGGCTAGTTGTTTTAGTCAATGCTGGTTAATTTTACATTTTTTTTGTTGATCATATCGAAATTTCGAATTTACGAAATAGCTGGGCTGTTTTTGGGAATTTGAGAAGTTGCTGCTGATCTTTTTGGCTAGTTGTTTTAGTCAATGCTTGTTAATTTTACATTTCTGGCATATCGAATTTACGAATTCTCGGGCGGTTTCCGGATTTCGCAAATTTGCTATGATCTCTTTACAAGGTGTTTAGTCAATGCTGGTTAATTTTACATATTGTTGATTATATCGAAATTTTGAATTTACGAAATGGTGGGCGGTTGTTGGATTTTGCATATTTGCTATGATCTTTAGTAGTTGTTTAGTCAATGCTGGGGTTTTTTTTTTTTTGAACACCTAGTCAATTCTGGTTAATTATACATTTTTGTTGATTATAACAAGAATTTTGAACTACTAAATTGCGGCGCGGATTCGGGATTTTGAGAATTTGTTATGATCTTTACTAGTTGTTTAATCAATGCTGGTTAATTTTACGTTTTTGTTGATTATATCGAAATTTTGAATTATTAGATTGCAGCGGTTTTTCGTATTTTGCAAATTTGCCATGATCTTTGCTAGTTGTTTAGTCAATGCTAGTTATTTTGCATAACTGATGAAGATATATCTTACTAGATCCTTTTGATTTTTGCCAATTTGAGCTACAAGTTCTTGTAATATTCAAATCTACGGGCGGTTTGTTTCTTTTTCGAAACAATGACGTTTTTTTGTGAGGCCAAGTTAGTTCGGTAGAGACTAATGAGTTGGTAAAAAATTTCAGGCAGATGTTTGTCATGCTTATCAGCTTCTGAAGAAAGGTGGAGTGAAAGAGGAGAACATTGTAGTGTTTATGTATGACGATATTGCAAATAACGAAGAGAATCCAAGACCTGGTGTTATTATTAACAGTCCTAATGGAGAGGATGTTTATAACGGAGTTCCCAAGGTTTTTTTTTTTGAATTTGGTTACAATTTTTAGCTGCGGTTATGGATCGTTGAAACGGGTTTTTGATTTGATTTGTTGGGGTTTGCTTGTGGCAGGATTATACTGGAGATGAAGTTAATGTTAATAACTTCTTTGCTGTGCTCCTTGGAAATAAAACAGCTCTTAAAGGAGGAAGTGGTAAAGTTGTTAATAGCGGTCCAAACGACCATATCTTCATATATTATAGTGATCACGGCGGCCCGGGAGTGCTAGGTGAGTTCAACTCTGTTTCATTGAAGTTAAAGTTTTTGTTTTTCGGAAATAAGTCTGATGATTCGAGTCTCCATGTTTGTTTTTAGGGATGCCAACTTCTCCTTACCTATATGCAAAAGATCTTAATGATGTCTTGAAGAAAAAACATGCTTCTGGAACATATAAGAGCTTGGTACATTGAAATATTTCTTCTGAAAATGCCTTTATTTGTCAGATACCTGTGATTTGGCTTGATCGTTCTCGTGCATGCAGGTGTTTTATTTAGAGGCTTGTGAGTCGGGAAGTATTTTTGAAGGTCTTTTACCAGAGGGTTTAAATATTTATGCTACAACCGCATCGAATGCAGAAGAAAGCAGCTGGGGTACTTATTGTCCTGGAGAGGATCCTAGTCCTCCTTCAGAGTATGAGACCTGTTTGGGTGACTTATACAGTGTTGCTTGGATGGAAGATAGGTATGCTGAAGAACTATTTTATAAAATGATAATAAAAGTAGGTGATGGATCCTCTAATTCCTTTGCTATTCTTTGTTTCAATGAACAGTGATAAACACAATTTACAGACAGAGAGTTTGCACCAGCAATATGAACTGGTAAGCTACAAATTTGGAGAGAGTTCTTTGTTCATTGAGACAGTTGTGAACATACAGCGAAATGATGTTACTGTTTCAGGTGAAAAAGAGGACTGCTGGTACTGGTTCGTCTTATGGTTCTCATGTTTTGGAATTTGGAGATATAGGACTTAGCAAGGAGAAGCTCGTTCTTTATATGGGCACAAACCCAGCCAATGAAAACTTCACCTTTGTGGATGAGAATTCATCACTAAGACTGCCTTCAAGAGTTACAAACCAGCGTGACGCGGATCTGGTTCATTTCTGGGATAAGGTTTATTATCCTACTCTCTTTGCTTCCTGGTGAAATCTATGGACGTTTGTAATATTTTGATATTGCATCTGGTTACTTAATCTATCAAGTGATTTTTTTTTCCATGTAGTATCGAAAGGCACCTGAAGGTTCTGCAAGAAAAGTTGAAGCTCAGAAGCAAGTCCTTGAAGCAATGTCTCACAGACTCCATGTCGACAATAGTGTTCTATTGATTGGGAAACTCTTGTTTGGTTTGGAAGGTCCTGCGGTACTAAATAAAGTCCGGCCTTCTGGAAGACCGCTTGTCGACGATTGGGACTGCCTTAAATCTATGGTACTCTTCTGCCTCTCTTTAAATCTTGGCTATTTGAATGGTTGCATCAAGTTTTGGGTAAACTCTATAATATGGTTAGTGTTAAAGAATGTCTTTAGATGGTCTAAGAATCACATCATACACAATAGAATGAAAGATCTAATAGAATACTCAAGAAAAAGGAGCATAGTAGTGTAGTGCAGCCCAACACTATTTCATGGCTAGACGATTTAAGAAACTTGCATTGCCACAAAATTGGATTAGATGGATTATCTCATCATATTTGTGATGCAAGACGTAAAATACTTCGAGATATGTTAGAAAACTTGTAGTTTAGTTCCAATTAAATAGAAAAGAAACGATATACCGTTTTTTCGTGATTAAGCGTCTTGTGATGATCACATCTTCTTCTTCATGTGGTTGTTAGGTGAGAGCCTTTGAGAGGCACTGTGGATCGTTGTCTCAGTACGGAATAAAGCACATGAGGTCAATCGCAAACATATGCAATGCAGGCATTCAGATGGGACTAATGGAGGAGGCAGCAAAGCAGGCTTGTCCCTCCATCCCTGCCGGTCCTTGGAGCTCTCTTCACCGCGGATTCAGTGCTTGATCCACAGGACCACATCTCCCTGCAATATATGTTTATATCCATGTATGATGATAATAACATCTGTGTATATCTTGCTGCCAAATATATTCCTTCCTATGTACACAAATTGATGTAAATATTGTATGCTTAAGTTCTTCGTATGAGTCTCAACTCAAGAGTTAAAAGAAACAGTGTTGTAAGTATTCTTATATAATCCTTATAACAAAAGTAAGGATAAACTTTTGTGTCCAAGTGATTTCAAGACTTTTAAGACAATAAACATACATAAACGAGGCTTATATAATACGTTTACATGATACATATATTGGGAATAACATCTATCACAATATTCTAGTTCTGTAACATACATATCGAGTGGCACATACAGTACAGATAGAGAAGCTTAAAGGTTATGGGAGGGGTCGTAGTGTTTACGTTCTTCTTGTATTGACCGGAAAATCCTGGCAGCATTCTCACTCGCGAGCTTTGCATTGTGAGGTACCACCTTTATCACTCTCGTCACTCCTCCATCTCTCGTTGTCTGAGTAACAGTTGTTCTGGTTGTGGTTGTGGTTGTTGTCATCAACTCCTCAGGTTCGTTGTTGATATTGTTGCTGTCATCAACGACTGCGAATGGCCGAAAGGCCTTGTTACCAGTGATTCCCTCCAGCCCACTTGGACTGCTTCCTGTGCTTCTTTGCCTGCTCTTTCTAGCCCGAGGGTAAGACTTTGTTGGCTGTTGCTGTTCCTGTCCAGTTACTTCATTTACCGAGCTCTGTTGTTGGCCGTTCTGAAGATTCCCGGAATACCCAAATTGATTCATATGCTCATTGGACTGTTGTTGTTGTTGATGTTGTTGCTGTTGTTGGTGTTGGTGTTGTTGGTGTTGTTGTTGCTGCTGTTGTTGTTGTTGTTGCTGTTGTTGCTGTTGTTGTTGTTGGCTTGAGCAATAAGGGTTCATCATGGTGGGGATTATTCCATATGGAGGGAAGTAGCCATTACCAGGAGGTGGGAATCCCATACCCGGGTGATACTGAGGCATTACCATCGGTGGAGGCATAAAATGACCATAAAATCCTCCACAGACAGGCCCCGGATGTCCCATACCTGGGTGAGGCTTGTATATCAGCCCTTCAGAAGGAGACATTACAGGGATTAACCATTGCTGATTTCCTGAGGGAGGAGGCTGAGGCTGAGGTGGAAAGCAATATCCATTTGAAGCTGATGAAGCAGGTGGATTGTTTGCAAAAGGCATATAGTTGGATTGTTGATGATGACCTTGGTTTGACAACCTCCCAACAACGTTCTCAGCTGAGCTTTCCATTTTATGTTGGTCAGTCTTCTCTGAGTCACCCCTTTGTTTGACGACAACATGTGGTAGAGGAGGCTTTACCATAAATTCTGATGGAACAAGCTTCTTCACTGGATAGGTTTTAGCAGAAACTTTTCCAAGAAAATTGATCTCATCGAGCAAAATATCCGGTGATGCAGCAATAAGTTTTTGAACCTGATTATTACAATAAAGCACAGTTGAAGACATCTGTTTCAGCTTAAAAATCATTGAAACATAGAAGAATTTTAAATGACCTTACCTTAATCAGTCTGTGCAACTCAAATAGTTGAACCGCAAATACTCTTTGTTGACTGTAATGAGAAACGAAGTCACGTCAAGAAGATGATCCATAAAAGGTTTTACAAAGAAAGATTTAGGTTCTTGTTGAACAGCTCATAAAACAATAGAATCAATAATGAGATAGGAAAAAGGAAACAAGAAAACATAGCTAATCAGTTACAAAAAAATAGCAAATCAATGCGTCCACAGACAAGTTAGGCATAGATAACCAGAGAACTGAAATTGAAAATTGAAGATACATAATGCAAGGGAGGGTTGATTAAAATCTAGCTTACCGTGCAGCTTATCCTCTGCAAAATGTGATTCTCAGATATTTAACAAAAATCATGAAAAAAGCTTGATATATGCATTGGTCATGAACCCCGATATATTACCATAGTGATAAGAGTACATTGAACCTTAAAATTTGAGTTATGGAGTCTAAACTCCATAGAAACTCTGTAGTTTACAACCACACTAAGGATCCTCTTAAGCAGTAGCTAGACGAAAGTATAATTCTGCATCGTCATAAGACTCATAACGAGCTTTATGTATGGTTAACTAAAATTTAGATCCTGGGCTACTCAGAAAAACATTCTCCCTACCTGGTTCAACCCCTTGAATGACAAGTAGGGAAAATGTCCAAGACGACAGTGCAGAATTAAAGCAATACCAAACCGAGACAGGGACATGTTCCAACAACCAGATGCAAAGAAGACATAGTATAAAGCCATGAACTGTCTCGGCGGGCACCTTGCACAATGTATGTCAACAGAGAATGTCCCTCCCTGCTATAACATGATCCAACGTGTTAAATGCGTTAATATGCTACCAAGGGCTCTTCAACTAAACATATAATAGAACTCTCTTAGAAGGAATCAGGGGCCTCTCCACTATAGAACCATCACTTCTCAAGTTAAACTCAAAATCTGTTCTCCCAAAATTAGACAGAATATAAACGAATTATAATCATATATTTATATCAGCGATTGCGTCGTTAACCATGAAAAAAATGGAAATTGGAAACTGTTCTAGTAATATGGTGATAGTGAAATATGCTCTAGCACAGTCCTCCATGAAATTAGCATAAAACAACAGAGGAAAGCTTCAGTAAAGTTATGGAGCAAATCTCAAGTAAAAGCATCTTGCAAGCAAAAAAGTCGGTATCAAAGAAGGAGATGGATAAAGAGCAGAAATTAATTAACCCAGTAAACCAAAGTGTACATTTTTAGTGAACTTACTTGGCAATAGCTTTCCTTGCTCTCCAGAAACGTTTTTGACCTAATACTCCCACAACATCATCAGGAGAGACATCTATGCTGGATATCGAATCCACCATTGAATCATCGGAAACGTCATCACTTGCCTCTTCATTTATCTGCTGCAGAGAGGCACATCCTCTGCTGGTGCTGTATTCACGACCATTATCAATTTCTTCAGGACTTCCATGACCCTCTTCTACTTGACTTTCCGTTGCCAAGTGAGACTCAGCTCCATTATCAGTGTCCTTCATACAAGTTTCACCACCATCTCGGTATAACCGCTTTCTAGAATCTTGTCTTAACGAAGCATTACAATCATTTACTCTGTCATAACTCGATGCTGATTTTTCGGGATTCATTTCCCCTGTGACTGATAAATCTAACGAGATTACAAAGCCACCTGACTTTGCATTCGCCTTGACTTGATCCCTAACCTCAGGTTTTGAAAAAGTAGCCAAACATATGCTTTGCTTTGCGCCTGCACGATTCACTTCTTGATATTGAATGGAGTGACGAGAGCTAGGTGCCACCAATGGGGTCTGTTTTTCCTTCTCAATACCACTCTTGTTCCTACCATGACCCTGAGATCTTCTTGAGTTGATAAATACTGGAACTGCGAAATCTTCTTCCTCTCTTACCATTTTCCGCTGATCATGTGGTGCCAAAGATCTCACATTTTCCATGAAAGACATTTGGGACACAGAGTTCTCAGTTGCTTGGTTTGCAGCTGAAGTATCAAGATGCTGAGAAGATAAGTTTCTTTCCACACCACAAGACTGCAGAAATGAGGGTTAAAAACATCAGTTTAATCTATCTAACATCAGTTTACACAACTCCAAAACAACTACTATTAAACCAAACAAAAGCAATACCTGACTACCAGGATGAACCAAAGTAGTTGTACTACTACGAGAATTATGAGATAACCCTCCATGATCACCAAACCTCTGAGAAGGTATACTAAGTTGCTCATAAAGAGCCATCTTGTTTCTAGGAGGAGCTCTAGGCCCTCCTTTATCTGCATCATTCACATGAAGCCTAGGAAACATAGGTTCCAATATCTTCTCCTCATCTTTCCCTCTCTTCATCACAAAAAGTCACAACCTTTACTCTCAAAAACCCAAAAAAAACCTAAACTTTACACAACACCCACCTCCAAAAATCTCTCCTTTCCCAACAATTCAACCTAAAAATCGAAAAAAAGATACCAAATTTGGCTTCGATGAAACAAACCCACCAATCAAATGAAATAACTTAACCAAGCAGCTAACTATTTCAAACCACCGACTCAAAAATAAAGATCTCACCAATCAAAACAAAACAGAGTAAAGAGAAATCAAACAAAGACTTCAACGGTAGATGAATCAGGTTAAGCTAAAGGAACAAGATTCGAAGGAAGAAGAAGATGACTTGTGTAAAGAGAGAGAGAGAGAGAGAAGATAGAGAGGAAAGGGGCAAAAAGAGATAGGAAGGAGTGGGGTCTAATAAGAGATAGAAGAAGGAGACGAGAGGATCTCTTTGGAGATATCTCTCATTTCACAAAATCCATTTGGACATTTTTATTTCTTCAGATTTTTCACTACCGGAAAGTGCGTGACAACGTGGACTCGTTTTTGTAATAGTAAATAATGAAAAGTAAAGAAATCTTAAAAACCTCATCCACCACATCACCTCTTTTTTGTTTTCCTTTAAAATATGTATGATGATGATTGATGACCATATTTAATTTAGAGAAATTCTCATAGCATGTTTTATTTTTTTTTTCCCAAAATACCATCATTTGTTTTTTCCCAAAAATATCATAAAAATTTAATTTTTCAAAATTACCACAAACATAAAAAGTTGAATTTTGACGATGTAGAATTAATATTTTTTGATATTTGGGTTGACTATTTACATTTAAGGTATAGTTTTTAGGGATAGGGTATAATATTTAGGATTTAAAAATTAGTTTTGAATGTGAAAAAAAATAAGTTTTAGCTTTGTGGTACTTTTGGAAAAATTTGTAATTTAATGGTATTTTTGGAAAATAAACCGCAACCGAAAATTAATGGTATTTAATGGTATTTTTATAAAAGAATTCCTCTTTTAATTTAGGTCTGGACCAAAAAAACCGCAACCGAAAATCTGAACTGGAATCGATCCAAACAATTAGACTCGAATCAGAACCCGAAATTTTAGATTTACCTTATTAAATCCTAAACTCCTTTACCCAAAAATTCAAAATCGAGTCCGACCCAAACCCGAATCCAAAAATACCCAACATATAAGTATATAAAAATAATTTAGGATCCGAACATCCGAACTATTTATTCGAATATCCAAAATTTGTACCCAAAATTCCAAATTTTTACTCGAAAATCCGGATATTTACCCAAAATTTTGGGTATTTATCCGAAAACCCAGAAATTTTGCCAAAAATTTTCGAGTATTCAGGCAAATTTTTGGATATTTGTGTTTTCGGATTTTTAATAGTTATGAAAATATATATCCAAGCCGGCCCAAATCGTAATGGATCCAAACCAAAACCAACCAGAAATTTGATATTTATCTTATTAAGTATTAAACTCTTTTACCCAAGAAACCTAAACGTAAATGTTTTTTATCCAAACCCAGGGCTATTATTTATGTTCTACCTAGTTTATTAAAGATGTATTTTATTAAGTCGTGGACGTGGGAGATGTTTTGACCACAAAACATGAAATCTTATAAATGGGTTCGATCACAACAAGGTCCAAAATTTATAAGGGATTTTCTGAGAACTTTTCTTATGGATGTAAATAAAAAAGTTGGTGAATCCATGTATGTAAATTACAAGAAAAAATCCTCCACCATCTGATTTGTATAGCCTCTCTTAAAGAGTTAACTGTTTCACACTGTGTTTTGAGGAATAAGTTATGTTAGATGGATCAAGCTTTGCTTTCGGATAGGGCGAGGGCAACAACAACGCTAATAAACTAATTAACGCCTAGATAAAAGTCTTTGAATGCTAACAGACCTCAACAGATCTCGAACGCTTTGCTTTTGGATCAAACTAGTATTGTAAACAAAACTGGACCATCATGAAAGTACACAGTAAACACCGTTATTGAAAACGTATAGAGAAACACACAGACAGTTACGCTTGGAACGCGCCAAGCAAACGCTTTTTCCTTCGATCTTTATTAACAAAATTTATCTTTTCCTACGATACAATTTTGTCTCGGCTCTTACTCAATCTATTCCTCCCAATAGAATTGAACCCGACTAAAGAATGAGCACTAAACCTATCTCTCCTACACCCGTGTAGTCCCAAGAGAAAACAAACACTCACCTTCTCAGCTTTTTGTTTTGCTAGCTTCGAAGTTTACAATCACGTACAAAGAGTCTAAAGTGTTCGAAGTGGCTCGTGGCCAAACCCTAGACTATTTATACTAACTACTCGAAACCCTAACCCTAGGATCTTCGAGGATCTCACCGAAACGGAATATGCTTGCTTGTCAAGCTCATCCTTTCCTTATTTGATGTGAAGAATATTCACC